CACATCTGAAAAATGAGCACATATTTGTACAAAGGAAGAAAGGGAAGAAGAACATTCTAGGCAGAGGAAATAAATAGTATCTGCAAAGACCCTGAGGTAGGATGGAACATGGCATGCCTGGGGAATTAAAAGGGGCCCAAGTGACTGATACATAGTAGACAAGGGAAAAAGTCACACATGATGAGAATGGGGAGAGAAGTAGGAGTAGATAATACACGGACTTGTGGTCCATGATAAGGATTTTGTGAAATAAGAAGCCACTGTCAGGATTGTAAGCAGGAATATGGCAAAGTAAGATCTGGGGTTTTCAGGGATCATTCTTTCTACAGGGTGGGAAATGGATTGGGAGAGTACTCTTGTGCCAGAATCCCAGAGACCAGCTAAGAGGCTAATTCTGGAGTCTATACTTACCCTAGAATGATGGCAGTAGAGATACAGAGAAGAGTGTAAACTTGGGTTATATTTTGGAGGTATTAGGTTGCTTTTGGAGTACAAAATGTGCACAGCATAGAAGTATAGAGGAATATGACACTGGCTAGGTAGACTGGGCAAACTCCTGAACGACTTCAGCTGCCATGGTAACAAACTTGGACTTTATCATGGGTAAGACAAAGCTCTTTAAGGTTTTATGGAATGAGTTAACACAGTTGGATTTGTGTTGAGCTAATAGTAACCTGATTCAGTCTCCTGTCTTCAGTCAAGACTTTATGATCCAGCCATAACTAGTCTTCTTTTCCCTGTGCCACCAGCTTAATCACCAACAATAAATTGGTGGCTTCTGAGGGTATTAAAGTCCATCTTTGTTTCCTATCTGTAAGGCAAATGAAATGACTATAATATTATTTCAAGTTTTGCTGTATTCTCTCTCATCCATACAAAGATGATGCTCTGTTCTATGGATAATATCTCAGTAAATCTAGATATTCGTACTCAACTCTTCTATCTTTTATCTTATGGCTTCCATGCTCAAAACCTCATGTGATACAGTCATGCATGTTGCTGCAATGCCTAAATGCCCCACTGCTGCTTGGTGCATGTGCCTTGTTTCCCACTCCCATCTGGAGAGCCCAAACATATCTGATGCCGGGCATCAGTGTTTGTGAGTGGAATAGATTTTCCTGATAATGGGTAATTAGACAAGGATAGCTAACATTGCTCTAACATAAAATATTTCATATAGAACTTTAGCATCTCAGACTTTGGCTTCTGGACTTGAGGGATCAGCTTTACTCCTTTGCTTAGCAACTAGGTAGGCAGAAAAAATATATGAAACAACAGTTTTTAGACATTGAACAACAGACACTGCAAGAGAATAATCCCTGAGTGAAAAATAAGAAACAAGGTGGGCCCTATGAATATACATGCTCACTGCCTGGAGAAGATTTTCCAGGGCACCACACAATGAGGGTGAACCAAAACAGAGCTCAGCTGTCTCTTTGAGTTGAGGAAACAGAGTTTAGACTTTGGGTAGGCCAAAGTAGCTGATTTGTAGGGCAGAGTCCTGGAGAGGATGGTACAGCCACAAGGAAAGAGTGCTTGAGAAGCTACAGAGGGGTCCCGTCAAGTCTTCAACTAAGTACTGATTTGCATATGCACGTGAGGAAAGTATTGAGGATAAGGAAAATACCACCAGAAAGAAACAGACAGAACAATCCCTGGACCACACACAGGGCTGGGAATAGTTTATGTTCCCACCACCAAAAGTGGAAAGACCTCCTAATAAATGGGCATTAGGTAGAATCATCAGAAGGAACAGGAGTTGGATAAAATCAGTCTAGACTATAGGCTGCTCAGGAGGTAACAAAGCTTTAAAAACAAGTCTTGAAAGTATCAAATTGACTCCAAGTATCTTAACTGTGTGCCAGCATAAAATTCAATACTAGTTCAAGAATGCAACAAAATCCAGCAACCAACATGTAAAACTCACAATGTTAATAAAAATTAGCAAGCATCCAAAGAAGCAGGAAAAGTATTACCCACAGCCAGAAAAAACTCAATCAATAGAAACAGATTTAGAAATGAAAGAGATGATAGGACTAGCAGGCAAAGACATTAACACGGCTATTATAAATATTCTCCATATGTTCCAGAAAGTAGAGAAAAGCATGAGCATGATGAAGAGATGGAAGATATAAAAACACATAAGTGGAACTTCTGTAGATGAATATGAAAGCTGAAATGGAAAGTACACTGGATGAGATTAACAGCACTTTAGACACTGTGGAATAAAATATTAGAGAACATTAATACATAGCAATAGATACTATCCAAAATAAAACATGGAGGTAAAAAAGACTGAACAAAATGAACAGAGCATCAGTGAGCTATGTGACAATATCAAGTGGTCTAACATATGTGTAATTAGAATCCTAGAATCTACAGAAAAAATACTTGAAGAAATAGTGGCTGAAAACTTTCCAAATGTGATGAAAACTATAAACCTACAGATTCAAGAGACTTGACAAAACCAAGAAGAAGAAACATGAAGAAAATCACACCAAGGCCTATGATAATCAAGTTGCTGAAAACCAGTGTTAAAGAGAAAATGTGAAAAACAGTCAGAGGAAAAAAAGACACAGAGGAACAAAAATATGAGTGATACCAGACATCATTAGAAACAGTACAAGCCAGAGGACAATCAGGGACATCTTCAAACTATTGGGGGTGAGGGCGGGGGGGTAATCTATCCACTTAGTGTTCTATACCGAGCAAAAATATCCTTTTAAAATGAAGACAAAATAAAGACTGTTTTAGACACACAAAACAGAAATAATTTCTCACTAGCAGACCAGAAAAAATATAAAGGAAGTCCTTTAGGCACAAAAAAAATTATATCAGAGGGATATTTGGATCCACAAGAAGGAATGAAAAGTTCCAGAAATGTGTAAATATAGAGAAAATTTTTCCTCATTTTTAATGTCTTGAAAAGATAATTGATTATTTAAACTTTAAAGCAAAAATAATGACAATTTATTGTGGGGTATAGAAGTAAAATGTATGACAATAATAGCACAAACGCTGGGAGGGGGGAAATGGAAATATACTATTGCAAGCTTCTTATAAGTGAAATGGTATAATATCATTAGCAAGTAGACTGCGATAAGTTAAAGTTGTATATTGTAAACTGAAGAGTGCCACTAATAAAACAAAGCAAAGCTAATAAGCCAATAGTGGAGACAAAAAGGAATCATAAAAAAATACTCAATTGGTTCAAAAGAAAGCAGGAAAGAAGAAAAAAAGACCAGATGGACAAACAGAAAACAATAGCAGGATGGTAGATTTTAAACCCAGCCATATCAATAATTACATTAAAAGTGAATGAGAAGAACACTACAACTAAGAGACACATTGTAAGATTGTCTCAAAAGCAACATGCAACTTTATGCTGAGCTCAAGAAATCCACTTTAAAGACAAAGATAGGTAAAAAGTAGAGGATGGAAAAAGATATACCATACTAATTAACACTAATCAAACACGAGGGGATATATAATGTATTATTCCACTTATATGACATTATAGGAAAGCAAAATATAATGATAGAAAGCAGATCAGTGGTTGCCTGGGCCCAGAGGTTAGGGGAAGGTATTGACTACAAATGGCCCAAGGAAACTTTTTGGAGTGGTGGAACTGTTCTGTACCTTGATTGTGATTGCAGCTATGGAACTGTACACATTTGTCAAAACTCAGCAAATATTGTACTTAAAATTGGTGGATTTTATTCTATGCAATTTATACCTCAATAAAGATGATGAAAGGAATAGAGAGAGAAGGAGGGAGGGAAGAAGGGAAAAAGGGAGCAGAGAGGGAGAAATAAAGAGGAGAAGAAAAGGAACAGGGAAAGGGAAAGAAGGAAAGAAATTAACCATTTCTGTTTTCACAAAGTACAGTCACTTCAGTAAGAATAGTTTCCACTGGCTCTTTACCCCATCATGTAAAATGTTTTAGCCCTTTTTTCTGATCCTTCTCGTATGCCCACATCTACACTCTGATGGTCTCACCTCCGACCTCAAGGAATTTATCAAGCTGTTGTACCAAAGGCAACTGCATCCCAAAGAGAAATTCTGGCATCAGCTGATGATAGTGAAACTTTCACCTTTGTCTGAGGAATGCCTCAGACAAAGGAAACTGCCCTTCCCACTTAGCTGTCTATGACACTGACCTCTCTCCTTCCTGACCTCACTTGCTCCATCACTAGCCACATCTTCCTTTTGTTGTTGAAAGCCCCATCCAACCCTCTGCACTTCTTTTAATCTTCAGTGTCTTAGTTCCCTCTCTTCAATAAGTAAGAACAATTTCTACATCCTCCTCCTCTCTCCCCAGGAGGGAAAGTTGAGTATACATAAAAGTGTTAATGGTGGGTCTCTGGATACACAAAGAACTAAAATAAGACATCTGAACTTCAGAGGGTAGACACATTTCATACTCACAAGGACAGCTAGACTGCATATAGGAACTAGACTCTAAGACTCTGGGGAAAGGGTTGGGATAATCAGATGGTCGAGATGTGATAAAGCAATAAAATAGGGCTGAGGGTAGCAGCAGTTGGAAAGAACATATGAAACACTTACAGAGCAAAACAAAACAACATATAAACAGCTCTGAGTGTACTTACATCCCATGCTAACAGGCAGGTAAATATGAGTGTCTTGTCAAGTACCACAGAGAAAATATAACCCATTCTCACATTCTGAGATGAATTACTGATGAAAGGTGATTCAATTCTCTGATTATATTTAAATAATAATTATTTAGGTACTGTGCAAAATTAACTTGCTAAATCTTAATTAACGTACTAGTAACATTTCTTATTCATTTCAGATCACCATGGACTCAAGGCCTTTATAATTACATAGACATAGAAGTGGATATATGTGAATCTTTCCAAATAACGAAGGTCCACTATATCTCTATGGATATCTTATGTTCCCCAGATTTGAAAGTGATGAAAAAGTAGCCCTCAGAAACTGTCCAGATGTTTTCACTGCTTTAACTTCTCCAGGTGCTTCCTACCCTGACCACACATTCCCTGTGGAGAGGATGGATGATGCTGTAGCTCCAGGCCGAGAATATACCTATGAATGGCATATCACTGAGGACAGTGGGCCCACCCATGATGACCCTCCATGCCTCACACATATCTATTACTCCTATGAAAATCTGATACAGGACTTCAACTCTGGGCTGATTGGACCTCTGCTTATTTGTAAGAAAGGTAAAAAGAAAAAAAACAACAAAGATGGGGGGGGGTAAGGAGTACTATAATCGAATGGGGCTTGGGAGAGTCTTGGTACCTTTTTGTAAATCAAGCAAAGGGAGAAGTGTGCAGAAACCAGAACATTGTTTGACATTGACACTTTAGGGTTTGGAATCCTCCTCTCTTTCTTCCAATCCCTCCTCTTCTCAGTCCTGGGAGCCTCTCCCAAGTAAGTCCTGTTTAAGAGTACGTTCTGTTGCCGTACCTGTATGATCTGTAACATTTACATCAAGGCCAAGTCTTTTTGAAAGTGTGCAGCAGCCTATATTCTGCTGAGAGTACTTGGAAAGAACTTTGACTAACATATCTGAGGTTTGGGTTGGCAGCTGGTCTACAAACAAGCAAAACTCCCACTTCGGGTTGTAGGTTTCAAAGACGCTCACCTGACTTTATAAGAAATTTCATTGGCTGAGCTTCTTAGGAGCAAGCTTCGATTTTCATTTTACCCCGAAATAATTCAGCTCATCTTTCATTAGAACAAACAAGCACAATGAACTGCACGGTGGGAAATAATGTGATGGACTCACCATCTGTCTATACATACATGCATACCTACATACATACATTCCTAATTCATTTATTCACTACACAAATACATGTTTTCACTGCCTGGTATATAGAAGATACTGTGATGGCACTGAAAAAAATTAAAACTTATAAAAAGCTCTTCTTTCATTTTACTATCAGCTGCATTGTTTCCTCATGTGAGAATGGATTGATCTTGACCCTCTCAACCAATTGTCTAGTGCCCCATTAGATGGGACAAGGTGGCTGTATTAAAGTTGGAGGGTGTGCTTTTACCAACCAGCTATGGCAGCTAGGTATTGGCCTGTGGACACTGGAGGAAATGTATACTTTCACTAAAGTCTTGACAGTCACCAAGTGTTTTTTCTCTGTGCCAGATCAAATTTACCTTTAAAGCCACATTCCTCTAGGCTATGAGGTGTGAGAAAACACTTAATGTGGCACCAGGATTTTAATAAGAAATCATTATTGCTTGATAAAGATGCTATTTTTTAAAATAAGAACGTTTTAAAGTTGATATTATTATGATTGGTTGCTTGCCTTAAAGTCTTTGCTATCTAGGAATAGCTAATGAGAGTCTTCTATCTGGGATGCTATTGAAAACTATGTCTTTTTTTTTACAGGCACCCTAACTGATGATGGGATGCAGAAGATGTTTGACAAGCAACACGTGCTGATGTTTGCTGTGTTTGATGAAAGCAAGAGCTGGAACAAGTCATCATCCCTAATGTACACAGTCAATGGCTATGTGAATGGGACGATGCCAGGTAACATGTGGGCTGTGCACTATCCAACAACAGTAGAGTCATTAGTACCTTTGGTTCCTTTGTTTTCCTCAAGGCACCAGGGAAGTTGACCATACTCACTATTTTTCAACTCCTAATCAGAAAGGTAACGTAATCTAGTTAAGTGCTTCTCAAGATTTTATCATCTTTTTTTCTGTCAAACCAGCAAATACAACAGACAAATTGGAGGCTACCTAAGAGAAGGAGTGTGATGCGTTAGTAGATGTAGTGCTCTGAGCAGGTTTCACCTTGGCCTGCTCTCCAGGGAGACCTCCAGGATATAAGTTCAGTCTCCTTCAGTGAGTTCTGTGGTCCCTGCTGCATGGTGACCATGCCTTCTTCCACAGAGGAAGCCCTACAGGACAGAAGTTCAAGGTCAATCCCTAGTAGGAAGAATGCAATGAAGACAGTTAGAGTGAAGATGAACAAGAGATTAGGAAAAATACCCAACAAACAAAAATACTACTAACATTTTCAAAGGTGATGGAGGAGTCATATTCAATGGCATGTAGGATGTTTTCTCTTTCTATTTGCATGTAGACTCTTGTGAAAAAGCAAAATCATAGCAAGTGTTAAGAGAAAAACAAAAAACTGACTTCCATCTAGACCATTTCTACTTCTCTCTGATAGAAGTGACTTAGAACCAAAGATACTGAGGGAAAAAATGGAAAAATGAAAATATTACTTTATTAAATATTACATAAACCATACTTCAAAACACTAACCTTCTCAGAGGCCATTCTCTATATCTGAAAATCACAAATGGCTTCAGTTGCTAAAAACAAAACTTGTCAAGAGTTGAGGTCTGGACACTGCTTTTAAATTGTGTTCTATTTCATTTGACTCCACTTTCCTGTGTGGGTTGTTACCAACACACTCAGCTGACTCTGGGTTTTGATTCACAGTTCCAAAATTTAGTTAACTGATGTCTACCTTAGGAGATCTGAGTTCAAACCTTGCTTACTTCTCTGCCTTAGGGTGGTCCTTAGCAGTTAATTGTCTCAATGTGCTTACTTACAAAAATGCATTAACCATCTATCCTGGTGCAAAGGGTGTTTAAGAATTTTTTTACATATAAAATAGCATGTCCATGGGCCGGCCCCGTGGCGTAGCGGTTAAGTGCGCACGCTCCACTGCTGACAGCCCGGGTTCGGATCCTGGGCTCGCACTGAAGCACCGCTTGTCAGGCCATGCTGTGGCGGCATCCCGTATAAAGTGGAGGAAGATAGGCATGGATGTTAGCCTAGGGCCAGTCTTCCTCAGCAAAAAGAAAAGAGGAGGATTGGCATGGATGTTAGCTCAGGGCTGATCTTCCTCACAAAAAAAAAATAGCATGTCCAGTACTATGGGCCTTAGAGGGGAGTGGTCAAAAGAGAAATTGTATCTGTGTGCTGGCAGAGTGAATCATCTCTGTAAATAGATAGAAGTCCCCAAAAGCAAACCATATGCACAAAAATAAAAATTAATAACTTGATCAGGGCATAGAGTTTATAAATTTATAGTTGAAAAAGACAGAGTAGTTGGGGTTAAGAGAGGCAGGGTAGGGAAATGTCATTAGTAGAAACTGAGAAAAGTTAATACTTGTAGAACTGCCCTATGTAACAGTAGGAATTGAATAAACAGGACAAATGCTAAGACAAATGTATTAAATGCTCAACTCAATCTGAGCATTTCTTTGGGGTGGATAAATGGTTCCATCAAAGCCTCCTACCTTCTAGCTTCTTGTTCTCAGGTTCTAGCTCCTTGTTCTCACTTGAGATACCAGGAATCTCTGCCTTGTTACAACAGTCTGCTAAAAAAGACAAGCCCCTCAGCCCCTCTGTGGGTAAGGGACGGATTCTCAGCCCCAAGATCTAGTGTCTAGTGATTATGGATCTGAAATTTAAAACCCAAGCCAAGGATAGAAGCCAGGGTTGGAATCTCCCACAGAGCAAACTGGTGTGTTCCCAGTCACTGTGGGAGCAAAGAAGGAGCAAAATTCAGCTTTTGTACTCAGTTCTCATTACTCCATCCATGAAATGCTCCCAGTGGCCCAGCGTAATGAGGACATGTCCACTGCATTTTAAGGAAAGCCTATAACTCACAAAGTAATTCATTGCCTTGTCATTAAAATAATCAACAAGTAGGTAAAGAAGCAATATAAAATCCTTAACTCATCTTCACATCTTCTTCCCTTAGGCAGAGCTTTGACCTCTATCCAGCTGAGAGGATTAGGCCCTTGAACTGAGTTGCTATTGGAGGCTCTAGCGACTCCCTCCACCTAAGTCCAGATTGGTTCTAGAGTGACCAACTGCCCAGGCTTGCCCAGGACTCTCCCAGTTCTAACATTGAAAGACCTGCATCCTGGGAAACCCCTCAGTCTGGGTAAATCAGAATGGTTTGTCACCTATTTGGTTCCCTCCTTGGCCTAATCTCTTAGCAATCCCTGTGTTTTGGAAGTAATGTCCCCCATCTCTGGGCTCTATTCTTACCTCTGTAGTACACTTATTGCAATGAGTTGTGACTGCTTGTTTGTCCGTCACTCAGATGTCTGCTTTTCTAGGGCAGGAACCACGATTGGAGTGTCTATATCCCCAGAACGTTGCACAATGCCTGATACATAGCAAGTGCGCAGTATGTATCTGCTTAGTGAATATTTTATCACAGAGTGCTGACTGCCTGTTTTGGCCCCCATCTCTCCATCTCTCTCAGATATAACAGTTTGTGCCAATGACCACATCAGCTGGCATCTGATTGGAATGAGCTCTGGGCCAGAACTCTTCTCCATTCATTTCAACGGCCAGGTCCTGGAGCAGAACCATCATAAGATCTCAGCCATCAGCCTTGTCAGTGCCACGTCCACTACTGCCAACATGACTGTGAGCCCAGAGGGAAAGTGGATCATATCGTCTCTCATCCCAAAACATTTTCAAGGCAAGAAACTCTTCCAATAGTCTTGCTTATGAATGTAGGATCCTTTCTCCCCAGGCACTAACTCCCTCCTTCTCCTTTGTCCTTTCAAGCCACCCACACTCCAGAATACATGCCTTGGTCCCTGAGAACAGAATTTAGATACTCTGCTCTTAGACTTATAACCAGTTAGTTGGGGATTGAGGAAGTGGAGTCATTGACAAAGATTTTAAAACGTGAAACAAAACCTGAAGAAGTCTCTACTTCCTCGAAAGGAGAAGGGAGGAAGAAAACAAATGCATACATATTCTTTCTTGAGGTATTTAATATGTAGCTAAGGGAAAAGACCCAGATGCTAGAACAAGATAAACATCTGCAAATTTATAGAAGCACCAAGTTACAGAAAGTGTAAAGGTTGTAACATGAAAGAATTTCTTTTATAACAAGATGAGCACAAAGCCTGGCACAAAGAGGAACCCAATGGATGTGTGTTGAATGGATCAAACATAATATTTAAACAGATGAGGAGTGGGCTTTAAAGAACATCAGTGAATTCTGGTGAGAAAAAAAATTAGCTCAGGTTGTTAAGTGGTATTATGTAAATAAAATAGCTAATTGTTCTAATATACATTGTTGCTTTAAAACTATTGGAAGGAGGTTTGTGTAAACAGAGATTAAATCATAAGTAAATGATATCACTATAGGAAATCATTTTGTTACCAAAATAATGTGTATAAAAGCAAGATACATAGGAAGAGACACTTCATGGGATCATTTCGTTATCTTTCCACACTAAGCAGTCAAAATTATATTTGAAGTAATGAAATTGTCACAATATCCCTAGAAGACAGAGTCCCAAATAATGGTAAAATAACAACAACAAAACTAACATTATTGAGGTTAAATTTTTTTGTATTAACTTATTCAATTTTTAACAATTTTGTATAGTATGTACTAATATTATCTTCATTTTACAAATAAAGAGACAGATGATAGGCAAAATGAGAAATCAAAAAGACCTAAGTCATAAGGTTTTAAGGATCTGGAAATTACGAGAGATTTTCTTTCTCTGGAAGAAACACAGGAAATCTTTCCAAGTTTTTTCCCTAACCCATCCTCTCTTTCCCTTGCTTTTTATTCTTGCCCCCTTCCCTATTGTGCTGAAAAAGCTCCAAACCAAAATGTTCAAAAGTTGCCTGAGCATTACTGTCACTGCTATTGTTTAAAGCTTCCACAATTTATTTAAAAGATATGCATTTTCATCAGCCTTAATTTCCTCTCTCAAATTCTTTCACTGTCTTGACATCCTAACTCAGCTGAGATGAAGGCTTACATAGACATTAAAAACTGCGCAAAGAAAACCCGGAATCCTAAGAAACTAACTCGCGAGCAGAGGCGGCACATGAAGAGGTGGGAATACTTCATTGCTGCAGAGGAAGTCATTTGGGACTACGCACCTATGATACCAGCGAACATGGACAAGTGAGTTTTGGGGATTCTTATCATTGTGCAAAGATTCAAGACATAGTCCAGCGGGTCCTAGATGTGTGGGGTGAAATGTCATGAGTTGACAGCTCTCTAGTGAATACATGTATTGGATTCCATTCAGGTCTTCTTATTCAAATCAATCTGGAATTACCCCAAACTCACCAAGGGAACTCCGCATTATTATAATAGTAGTAGTAGTAGTCATCGTCGTCGTAGTAGCAGCAGCAGCAGCAGCAGCAGCAGCAGCAGCAGTAGTAGTAGTAGTAGTAGTAGTAGTAGTAGTAATAGTAGTAGTAGTAGTAGTAGTCATGGCAGCTGCCACTTGAATGCTTGCTATTCCAAGCACTATGTTAAACCCTTTCTTAAAGCTTCACTTTAACTCTACAAATTAGAAACAGCTCTTCTTTATTTTGTAGATTAGGCAATGGGTCAGGGAGATTAAGAAATTTGGAAATTCAAATAGCTCTTAAACACTTGAAAAATACTCAAGCTCACTCTCAATAAGAAAAATGCAAATTAAACTTCTCTGAAATACTATTTTTCACCTATCAGACTTACAATTCCAGATGACATAATCTGTCGGCAAGGCTACGGGAAACAAACACTATCATATATTGCTGGGGGAAGAGTAAATCAGAAAAGCTGTTCTAGAGGATAATTTGGCAATATGTATCAAAATTATAAATGTGTATACCCTTTGACCCAGCAATCCCACTCTGGGAATTTACTATATAGATATATTTGTTCACAGGGGAAATGATGTATGTACAGGATATTCACTGCTGCCCTGTTAGTAGTAGCAAAAAATTGGAAACAAGACCTGGTGGGAACCCTGCGAAGGACCAGAAGGGAGGCACACCCATCTACACACCCAGTAAAAATGTCCATCAATAGGAAATTAGTTTAATAAGTTATAGTACATCCATACAATGAAATACTATGCATCTGTTTAAAAAAAAGGATGCAAACACTCTCTGCGTACTAATATAAAAAGTTCTCTAAGATATATTGTTAAATTAAAAAGTCACTGGAGCAAGATAGCAGAATAGGAGGTCCCCTACTTGTATCCCCCAAAAACAACAGTAATTTGACAGCCATCTACAAGCAAAAGTGCCTTTGTGAGAGTTTTGGGATCAAGGGAGGAACTTGCAAAATCCCAGTGGAAGCCAAGACTAAGGAAGGCTGTTTTGAGAAGGCAAGTCCTTGCTCAGTTGGTAGGTTTGCTGACTATGGTCCCAGCTGCAAACCTGGAAACAGACTCATCTACTTCTGGACTCAGCCATAGCCCCACTTGGCCTTGGTCCTGCCACCAGCACCATTTGACAAGGGACCCAGGAGGAGTCTTACCTATCCATTATCCTGGAGGCTAGCTTACAGAACTCAGTCTGACTATGGATCTTGATGCAGCCCCGTAGCCAGCTCCAGCCTCTCCCAGCCATGGTCCAGGAGTAGTCCTGCCTGCTCAAGGACTCACTGGGAGTCACACCCATCCATGCCCTGGAGGCTGGCCTGCAGTCCCAGTGCAGATCTTAAAGCAGCCCTGTAACACAGGTCCAGCTGTCCCAGCTGCAGTTCAGGAGCAATCCTGCCCACCCAGGGACCCACCCAGTGAGCTGGTGGGAACCCTCCCAAGGACCAGATGGGAGCCACACTCATATACACACCTAGTAAAAGGCCCGCCATTTGTGAACCCAACTGCAGACCTTGAAGTGAACCATTGCCCCAGTACACCAGCTCTACTGACCAAGGTCCTGGAGGCAGTCCCATCTTCCCAGGGACCAGAGAGGATCCATACCCACCTGAGCCTCTGGTAAAAGGCCTGCCAACACAGACACTGCTGGAGGCCCAGTAGCAGCCACATGACCTGGTTCCAACCTCACCTGACTGTGATCCCAGAGGCAAGCCCATCAGCCCAGAGACCTGACAGGAGAAGGTCTTTACCTACCAAAATCAGTCTCTAAAGACTGGAAGAGGGTGTTTGCTCCTTCAAATGCACAGGCACCAACACAAGGCTATATGAATCAGAGAGAATCAGGAAAAATGACACCACATCAGGAAACTAATAAAACTCCAGTAACTGATGTGAAAGAAGCAGATCTACAAATTTCCTGACAAAGAATTCAAAATAATCATCTTGGGCCGGCCCAGTGGCTTAGCGGTTAAGTGCGTGCGCTCCGATGCTGGCGGCCCGGGTTCGGATCCCGGGTGTGCGCTGACGCACCGCTTCTCCGGCCATGCTGAGGCCGCGTCCCACATACAGCAACTAGAAGGATGTGCAGCTATGACATACAACTATCTACTGGGGCTTTGGGGGGAAAACAAATAAATAAATAAATAAAATCTTTAAAAAAAAAAAAAAAAAAACACAAAATAATCATCTTAAAAAAGCTCAATGAGAACATATGCAAGAGAACACAGACAGGCAACTAAACAAAATCAGGAAAACAATACATGAACAAAATGAGAAGTTTAATAAAGAAATAAAAGCTATAAAAAAATAATCAAACAGGCGCTGGCCCTGTGGCATAGCAGTTAAGTGCGCGCACTCCGCTGTGGCGGCCCGGGGTTCAGATCCCAGGTACACACCAATGCACCGCTTGTGACGGCACCCCATATAAAGTAGAGGAATGTGGGCATGGATGTTAGCCCAGGGCCAGTCTTCCTCAGCAAAAAGAGGAGGATTGGCATGGATGTTAGCTCAGGGCTGGTCCTCCTCACAAAAAAATAAAATAAAATAATCAAACAGAAATCCTGGAGCTGAAGAATACAATGACAGAATTGAAAAATTCAATAGAGAACTTCAATTAGCAGACTCAATCATGCATAAAAAAGATTTAGCAAACTTGAAGACAAGTAATTTGAAATTATCCAGTTACTGGAACAAAAGAAAAAGAGTGAAAAAAGCTCACAGGACCTATGGGATATCATCAAAAGGACTAATATATGCATCATGAGAGTTCCAGAAGGAGAAGAAAGAGGGAAAGGGGCAGAAAGCTTATTTAAAGATAATGGCTGAAAATTTCCTAAATCTTGTGAGATATATGGACATACAAATTCATGAAGATCAAAGGACCCCAAGCAAGATCTACCCAAAGAAGATTACTCTGAGACATATTATAATCAAATTGTCAAAAGTCAAAGATAAAGAGAAAATTCTGAAAGCAGCAAGAGATAAGCAACTTGTCATCTACAAGGGAACCCTCATAAGGCTATCAGCAGATTTCACAGCAGAAACCTTTAAGGCTAGGAGAGTGTGGGATGATATATTTAAGGTGCTGAAAGAAAAGAAATACTGCCAGCCAAGAATACTATACTACACCTAGCAAAGATTCCCTTCAGAAATGGAGAGATAGAGACATACCAGACAAAGAAAAGCTGAGAGAGTTCAACATCATTAGACCTGCCGTATAAGAAATGCTAAAAGGAGTTCTTCGAGGTGAAATGAAAGGATGCTAAGCAACAACATGAAAGACTAAAATTCTCTGGTAAAGGTAAATATATAGTCAAATTCAGAATATTCTAATACTGTAATGGTGGTGCATAAATCACTTTTAACTCTAGTGTAAAATTAAAGGTGAGAGTATTAAAATCACTAAAGCTACAACACTTTATAATGAATACACAATATAAAAAGAGGTAAAGAGTGACTTCAATAACATAAAATGTGGGGGGAGGTAGTAATAGTACAGTTTTTTATGTGATTGAATTTAAGTTGTTATCAGCTTAAAATAAACTGTTAGAACTATAAGATGTTTTATGTAAGCCTCATGGTAACCACAAAGCAAAAACCTCTACCTCTAGCAGATACACACAAGATAAAGAGAAAGGAATAAAAGCATACCACACAAAAAATCAAGTCACAAAGGAAAACAGCAAGAGAGAGAGAAAGGAACAAAAGAACTACAAAAAGTCAGAAAATAATTAACAAAATGGCAGTAGTAAGTCCTTTTCTATCAGTAATTGCTCTAAATGTAAGTGGACTAAATTCTCCAATCAAAAGACACAGAGTGGCTGAATGGATTAAACAAAAACAAAATCCAACAATATGCTACCTACAAGAGACTCACTTTAGTTTTAAGGACACACATAGGTTAAAAGTGAAGGGATAAAAAGATATTCCATGCAAATGGTAACCAAAGGAAAACAGGGCTATACTTATATAAGACAAAATAGACTTTAAGTCAAACTATCACAAGAGACAAGGACACTATGTAATGATAAAGGGGTTATAACAGTTGTAAATATATATGCACCCAACCTTGGAACATCTAAATGTATGAAGCAAATATTAACAGAATTGAAGGGAGAAATAGACAACAATACAATAATAGTAGGGGACTTCAATACCCCACTTTAAACAATAGATAGATCATCTAGACCTAAAATCAATAAGGAAACAGTGGAATTGAATAACACTATAGATCAAGTGGACCTAACAGATGTATAAAAAGCATTCCATCTAACAGCAGCAGTTCCAAGTGCACATCTCTAGGATGCATCATATGTTAGGCCACTGAGAAGATTGAAATCATACCAAGTATCTTTTCTGACCACAGTGGTATGAAACTAGAAATTAATAATGGAAGGAAAATTGGAAAATTCACAAATATGTGGAAATTAAACAACAGTATCCTGAATAACCAATGGGTCAAAAAAGAAATTAAATGGGAAATCAAAAAATATCTTGAGACAAATGAAAATGGAAACACAACATACTAAAACTTATGGTATACAGAAAAACTTATGGAATACAGCAAAACAGTTGTAAGAGGTAAGTTTATAGCAATAAATGCCTACATTTAAAAAAAAAAGAAAGTCTCAAATAAACAACCCAACTTTATACCACAAGGAACTAGAAAAAAAAAAAAGAGCAAACTAAGCCCAAAGTTACCAGAAGAGGGGAATAAAGATTAGAGAAGAAATAAATGAGGCAGAGACTAGAAAGATAATAGAAAAGATCAACATAACTAAGATTTGTTTTTTTGAAAAGATAAACAAAATTGACAAACTTTTAGCTAGACTAACCGAGGAAAAAAGAGAGAGGACTAAAATAAATAAAATTATAATTTTGAACAATTATATGCCAACAAATTGCATAACCTAGAAGAAATGAATAAACTCCTACAAATGTACACGCTACCAAGACTGAATCATGAGGAAACAGAAAATCAAAACAGACCAATAACAAGTAAGAAGACTGAATCAGTGATCAAAACACTCCAAACAAAGAAAAGCCCAAGACCAGATGGCTTCTTGGGTGAATTATACCAAACATTTAAAGAAGAATTAACAGTTATCCTCAAACTCTTCCAAAATATTAGAGGAGGGAACATTTCCAAACTTATTGTACCAGGCTGGCATTACCCTCACACCAAAAACAGATGAGGACACTACAAGAAAAGAAAATTATAGGCCAATATCCCTGATGAACATAGGTGCAAAAAATCCTCCACAAAATATTAGCAAGCTGAATCTAATAGCACATTAAAATGATCATACACGATGATCAAGTGAGATTTATCCCTAGGATACATGGATGGTTCACCATGCACAAATCAATAAATGTGATACACCACATTAATATAATGAAAGATAATCATATGATCATCTCAATAGAAGCAAAAAAAGCATTTGACAGAATTCAACACCGTTTCGTGATAAAAACTCTCAACAAGTTAGGTATAGAAGGAATGTACCTCAACATAATAAAGGCCATACATGACAAACTCAAAGCTAACATCCTACTCAATGGTGAAAAGCTGAAAGCTTTTCCTCTAAGGTTAAGAACAAGACAAGGGTGTCTACTCTCACCACTTTTCTTCAACATAGTACTGGAAAGCCTAGCCAAAGCAATCAAGCAAGGAAAAGAAATAAAAGCCATCCAAATCAGGAAGGAATAAGTAAAATTGTTTCTATTTGCAGATAACGTGATTTTATGTATAGAAAACCATTAAGACTCTGCCAAAAATCTAATAGAACTAATAAAAGAATTCAGTAAGTTGCAGGATACAAAGTCAGCATACAAAAATCAGTTGCATTTATGTACACTAACAATGAACTATCCAAAACAGAAACTAACAAAGCAATGTCATTTACAATAGAATAAAAAAAGAATAAAATACTTAGGAATAAATTTAACCAAGGAGGTGAAAGATCTATACACTGAAAACTATAAGACACTAATGAGAGAAATTGAAGAAGACACAATCAAATAGAAAGATGTCCCATGTTCATGGATTAGAAGAATTAATTTTCTTAAAATGTCCATACTACCCAAAGCAATCCACAGATTCAATGCAATCCCTGTCAAAATTCCAATGGCATTTTTCACAGAAATAGAAAAAACAATCCTGAAATCCACATGGAACCACAAAAGACCCTAAATAGTCAAAGCAATGTTGGGCAAGAAGAGCAAGGCTGGAGGCATCACACTTCCTGATTTCAAACTCTGTTACAAAGCTATAGTAATCAAACAGTATAATAATGGAATAAAAACAGATACTTAGACCAACAGAACAGAATCGAGAGCCCAGAAATAAACTCATGCATATATGGTAAACTAATCTTTGACAAGGGCACTAGGAATACACAATAAGGCAAAGATAATCTCTTCAATAAATGATGTTGGGAAAACTGGATATCCACATGCAAAAGAATGAAATTGGACCCTTTGCTTATAGTATACACAAAAATGAACTCAAAATGGATTAAAGACTTATGTGTAACTAGGAGAAAAACATAAGGAAGAAGCTCTTTGACACTGGTCTTTACAATGATTTTTTTGGATATAACAGCAAAAGCACCAGCAACAAAGCAAAAATAAACAAATGGGACTACATCAAACTAAAAAGCTACTGCATTGCAAAAGAAACAATTAACTAAATGAAAAGGTGACCTATGGAATGGGAGAAAATATTTTCAAGCCGTATATCTGATGATGGATTAATATCCAAAATATATAAGGAACTCATATAACTCAATGGCAAAAAAACAAACAACCTGATTAAAAATGGGCAAATGACCTAAATTGACATTTTTCCTAAGAAGACACACAAATGGCCAACAGGTATATAAAAAAAGTGTTCAACATCACTAATCATCAGGGAAATGCAAATCATATCCATGATGAGATACCACCTCATACCTGTGAGGATGGCTACTATGAAAGACAAGAGATAAGAAGTGTTAGTGAGGGTGTGGAGAAAATGGAATTGTTGTACACTGTTGGTGGGAATGTAACTTGGCACAGCCACTATGGAAAACAGTAGGGAGGTTCCTCAAAAAATTAAACCATATGACCCAGCAATCCTACTTCTGGGTATATATCCAAAGGAAAGGAAATAAGTATCTCAAAGAGATATCTGCACTCCCATGTTCATTGCGGCATTTTTCATGATAGCCAAGACGCGGAAACAACCTGAGTGTCTGTGGATGGATGAATGGATAAAGAAAATATGGTATGTGTGTATATATATGTGTGTATCTATATATACATATATATATATATAATGGAATATTATTGAGCCTTAGAAAAGAAGGAAGTCCTGCCATTTGCAATAACATGGCTGAATCTGCAGACGTTATGCTAAATGAAATTCCGGACACAGAATGACAAATATTGCATGATCTCACTTTTATGTGGAATCTAAAAAAGTCAAAATCACAGAAGCAGAGAATATAATGGTGGTTGCCAGAGGCTGGGGGTGAGGGGAATGGAGAGATGTTGATCAAAGTGTACAAACCTTCAGTTATAAGATGAACAAGTTCTGGAGACCTAATATACAGCATGGTGACTACAGGTAATAATACTGTATTGTATACTAGAAATTTGTTAAGACAGTAGATCTTAAGTGTTCTCACCACAAAAAAAGAACTAGTAACTAGGGGAGGTGATGGAAGTGTTAATTAGCTTCATTGTGGTAATTACATATATATATATGTATAATATATGTAATATATATATACATAATATATGTTATATATATATATATATAAATCATCGTGTTGTACACCTCAAATGTTTACAATTATTTGGCAATCATACCTCAATAAACCTGGAAAAAATGTCAAGCTGTAGCACAGAGTATATAAATAGCTGCCTTTTGTTAAAGGTGGTGAGAGGATAAGAATATTTATATTTGCAAGTCATATTTGCATAAAGATGCTCTGGAATTATGCACGTGAAATTATTGCAAGTGAATATTTAGAAAATGCAGGGAGGGTTAGGAAGATGGAGTTAAGGGGATATAGCATGTGAGTGAAAGTTTTTACTGTAATCAAAATCATTTAAATGTATTAGCTCTTCGAAAAATGTAACTGAGAAAAAGATCAAAAAAGGAACTTGCTCAAAATTATATAATAACTGACAGTACTGAGATACAATTCCAGGACTCTCTGGCAACAGTCAGTGCTTTTTATTGTACAAAATAAATGCATAAAATAGATAAACTCTATCGTGGAGCTTCTGCTTTTACAAACTAAGGCAATAAAGAGGACCAAGGGAAAAATTGGTTCATGTTGCTGCTCCCAGATCATTTATCGCAGTAGCTACAGAGGATGGGTGAAGGTGGCTGATTTTCAGTTGGCACCAGGATTGGGTAGATGGTAGAAGGGACAGCCCAACAGCACAGAACTACGTCTAATCAAGATAGTAAAAGCTTCCTAAAGTGGGAAAGTGCTTTTAGAGATTGAGAAATACCTTGGAAAGCCAATAGGGATACCATAAATTAAGTGATAAGGAAGACTTAAGAAAACTTCCTAGTGTATCCTATCCTTTCATCCAGGTAGATGCTTTCCCAGACATATCTGAGGTCTACTCTAGTAACCCAAGTGACAGGAAGATCCAAGTGGCTGCTTCTAACCTCAACTATGACTTTATCAATGGTGGAGGAGACAGATCAGAGGTTTCCAGTCTTCCAACTAGAAAGAAGATGTCAGGACTTTGCAAACCACATTAAGAATTTTTTAGAAAACTGGCTTTTTAGCTAATCCAAGAGCAGAATTTCTAAGCACAAGGATTTCCCCATCCTGCTGGGGTCTCTACTTGAGAAAATGGTTTAATTTTTTTTTATTTCATTTCACTTTAAGAAAATACAAATCTCTGTACTTGGATAATTTCTCAAACCGAATAGGAAAACACTATAAGAAGGTTGTCTACAAACAGTACCAAGATGAGTCCTTCACCAAACGCCTGGAGAACTTCAATATCAAAGAAGATGGGATCTTGGGCCCTATTGTCAGAGCCCAGGTCAGGGACACACTCAAAGTAAGTAACAGAAATATAGAACCATGGAATAAGTTAAATAGTGAAAGACAGATTATAAGTACTTGTTACTTGTTTATTTTAGAAAGAAAAATGAGCCCATATAATTTTTAATTCAAATGCAGCTTTTAGTTGTTAGTATTTGCACTTATTTATAGCCTACTTCATAATACAAAGGATATGGGACAGTTTATCAAGTTATAGAGGAATAAAACAAAGAGTCGATGTAATTGGGGTGAAGGATAATATGGAGACAAAGAAAATAAAGCCACAGATAAGGTAAGTATAATGAAACACATACCAGCTGCTCCTATAATGTTGTCTGCGAATTTTATCTTAAGTTTTCTAGTGACCAAAGTAAACTGGGGAATATGTCAGGACAAGATTCACAGTAGTCATAAAAGAAGCACAGTTTCCCCTGATACTGAGACCCAGGAGGAATTTCTCCCACGGATCCTTAAAAAGAGGATGCTGTGTGATGCAGTGGATGGAATCCTTGATAAAATCCCTACAACTGGTACAATAAATAAAAAACTTGCATAGTTTTTAAAAATAATGTTTCTCGGGGGCCAGCCCAGTGGCGTAGTGGTTAAGTTCATGCGCTCCGCTTCAGTGGCCCAGGTTTCGCAGGTTCGGATCCCGGGCGCAGACCTGCGCACCACTTGTCAAGCCATGCTGTGGCAGGCGTCCCACATATAACGTAGGAGGATGGGCACAGATGTTAGCCCAGGGCCAACCTTCCTCAGAAAAAGAGGAGGATTGGCAACAGATGTTAGCTCAGGACGAATCTTCCTCACCAAAAAATAATAATGATAATAATAATGTTTCTCATTATTTATTTATTATTTACTATGTTCTCAATGAGAACATAGTAAACGCAGCTGAGTAAAAACAATTCTTCAATGTGATCTAGGTATGTTGTTTTCTGAGGACTGGTCTCTGATGAAGATAAATTTAGATATATATCAGGAGCACTGAGAGTTCTTCAGACAGTTTTCCTTAAATGTTATGTCACATCATCAAGCTTTTGATAAGAACTGGGCAGCAGATAATTGAAGGTTGCAATCTTTGGCAAGATTCTAGAATGCAGATAACCTACAGATTAAAGATTGTATATTGGGGCCAGCCCAGTGGCGCAAGCAGTTAAGTGCACACGCTCCGCTGTGGTGGCCCAGGGTTTGCCGGTTCGGATCCCGGGCGCGCACCAATGCACTGCTTGTCGAGCCATGCTGTGGCGGCGTCTCATATAAAGCAGAGGAAGATGGGCACGGATGTTAGCTCAGGGCCAATCTTCCTCAGTAAAAAGAGTAGGATCAGCATCAGATGTTAACTCAGCTGATCCTCCTCACAAAAAAAAAAAAAAAAAGATTGTATAAATGCTTCGGCCATCAACCACAGAGAAGATAAGGTTAAAGTTCTCTTGTGAAGACTAAGGAGCCTAACTAGGACTCCAGTGTGAATAATGCTCCTCCTTTTACCTCTTCGTGGGGTGAACTAAGAAAATATCTGTAGACAATGCCAATTCTGTTCGCTTAAGAATAACAAAAGGACAGAAAGCAGCCTTTCTCTGTTCCTATTTCTCTTTCCTCATTTCTGATCCCTTTCAGGTGCTCTTAGCAAGTGTAATTACCTCATTGGAAATTCAAGATCTTGCTATTTGTGATGCCCCTCAAGAAGGTGGCTTCAAGGACAGTGGTTCTAGGAGATCTAGCAGGCTGGAGAAGGGGATCATGATCTGGAAAGGAGAAGGAGCCTATTCAAAGACAGATGTGGTCCAGGCTGAAAAGAGAGGGGAAGGAGGATGGGGACCAGATTGGAGAGAGTGATATACTGTAAGGAAAATGTCACTTCCAAGGTCACACGGCTCTTTCCATTTTCTACCGTACTGTGTGAGTGAAACTCAAATGCTTCTGTCAGGTGATGGGGAAAGGTTGCTGCTCAGATAAACAGAACTAGTTTACATACACACACACACACACACACACACACACACACACACCATCCAAGTAAATATGCAAAGCTAGCATTCTATATTAATTCTCATAACCGACCTTAAATCCTGAAATAATGAATTTGAGTTAACTTTGTAGATTGTGTTCAAAAATATGGCCAGCCACACCTACAGCATTTACCCTCATGGAGTGACCTTCTCTCCTTATGAAGATGAAGTCAACTCTTCCTCCACCTCAGGTTTGAACCTTTCACTTCTACTGAATGAAACTGTTGGCCTCTGAGAGGCTGCCATATTTTTCTGCTGTCCTCCTTGCCCAGCAGTATAACTTGTGCAGTCAGGTGGTATCCATGTAGGGGTATCCTAAAAGTCAAAACAAACCCTACTCACTTCAGGGATTTTGTTTACCCTAGTGATTACAAAATACTGTGTCCTTTGTTAGTGCCATAGCAGCCTCTAGTGGAGTAATATCTAATGGCTACATGCTGTCCAGGGTTCTATCAAGTGGATCTTAATATAAAAAGAATATTCCTGACTTATTTCACTTAGCAGAATACCCTCAATTTCCATCCATATTGTTGCAAATGGCACAATTTCATCTTTTTATGGCTGAGTAGTATTCCATTGTGTATATATACCACATCTTCTTTAATCGTTCATCCAGTCAAAAAATGGGCAGAGGATATGAACAGACATTTTTCCGAAGAAGATACACAGATGGCCAACAGGCATATGAAAAGATGTTCCACTAATTTATAGGGAAATGAAAATCAAAACTACAATGAGATATCACCTCACACCCATCAGAGTGCCTATTATTAAAAAGATGAAAAATAACAAGTGTTGGAGAGGATGTGGATAAAAAGGAACCCTCATGCATTGCTTGTGGGATTGTAATTGGTGCAGCCCCTATGGAAAACAGTATGGAGATTTATCAAAATTTTAAAAATAGAACTCCCATATGACCCAGCAATTCCACTTCTGGGTATCCAAAGAACATGAAAACACTAATTTGAAAAGATATATGCACCCCTATGTTCATTGCAGCATTATTTACAATAGCCAAGACTTGGAAGCAACCTAAGTGCCCATCAATGGATGAATGGATAAAGAAGATGTGGTATATATATACATACACAATGGAATACTATGCAGCCATAAAAAAGATGAAACTGTGCCATTTGCTACAGCCTGGATGGACCTTGAGAATATTATGTTAAGCAAAATAAGTCAGATGGAGAAAGACAATTACCATATGATCTCACTCATATGTGGAAGATAAACAAACAAACAAAGGCGTAGATACAGAGAACAGATTGGTGGTTACCAGAGGGGAAGGGGGCGAGGGGAGGATAAAAGGGGTAAATGGGCACATGTGTATGGTGATGGATGGAAACTAGACTTTGGTGGTGAACACAGTGTAGTCTATACAGAAGTCAAAATATAATGATGTACACCTGAAATTTATATAATGTTGTGAACCAATGTGACCTCAATAAAATAAATTTAAAAACAGAATATTCCTTTCCCAATATTAATTGGTTCTAATGAGAGCTCAACTATTTATTTATTTACTTATTTATTTTCATTAAATAATTTCAAAAGTGAGAACAATTTTGACTGCATTTTCTTTCAGGCAATAACATCATGGTCAGAGCAGTCAAACCAGGGGAAACCTATACTTATAAGTGGAACATCCTCGAGTCTGATGAACCCACAGAACGTGATGCCCAGTGCTTAACCAGACCATACTACAGTAATGTGGACGTTACAAGGGACATTGCCTCTGGGCTGATAGGACTACTTCTAATTTGTAAGAGCAGATCCCTGGATAAGCGAGGCATACAGGTATTTTGTCCTTGAAGTAACCTTTCAGAAATTCCAGGAATTTCTTCTGCCTAGACCACATTTCTTCTGCCAAGTACACATTAGGTGTACTTGCTAAGTAATGAGGCTTTTCCTTCTAGAGAACAGAAATGATTAAGTAGTCCTCTTTAGCACGAATGTGATGATGTTTATTCCTTTGGTTACTTTTTTGTCTTGCCTCTTTTCACCTAGACTCTCGCTGCAGAAAGTATACTGTGTGATACTGTATTTTGTTCTAGTTTCAAATTCCAGGTCTGTTGGTATTGGCTATGTGATGAGCAAGTCTCTTAGCATCTCTTAATTTCTTCCTTTTATCAAGTGGGTAATACCCCTCCTAAAAATTTTACAGGGTTGTTTTGGGGCTCGGTGAAATACCACCTGGTAAAAGTGTAAAGCTCTGTACCAATCCTTGTTATTTTTAGACTCACACTAGGGAGAGATAAGAGAGATACATTTGGAGACAAATCTAGTAAAGTTGGACCTAGACGATCATCCATCTCTAGTGAGTTATACAGAAGAATGATAACAAACACATGGATGTTCTGCCTTTATCTTCGTTGAAGAATAATAGTCTCATATTATTAACATAAAATTCCTGGACAGTTAGGCTAAGCTATAATCAAAGAAGTCTCATCCCAGGGCATGCAAAATAAATAAATATATGCCTAGAAAAATCAGAAATGGGCATTTGGAAGACCCTAATTTATTGAGCTAGGAAAAGAAACAGGTAGGGGGAGGTATAAAGCTTTCCTATTACAACCTCTTGTTTTATCCTTTGCAACTATTTGGAGCACATCCAGTCAATCATTTAGGTTGAAAGGCGTTCAACTACAGAGATAAACAAAATTATAGTTGCAATGATGAAATGGAATTTTTCTATTAGGATATTTTAGTCTCTGAATTTCTGTTCTTCTCTCTTTGCTTTTGCACATTATCTTTGGCTCTAACAAGGGCTTTGTACACAATGGGCTCTCATAAATGCCTGCATCTGTGGCTTCAGTGGCCCCAAGAGCTGTGCCCCTTTGGTTTCTGAGAAGAACTCAGAGTTGTAGGTAATCAGCTGGAACATTAATCATTGAACACAGCCCCTTTACCCTCCAGAGGGCAGCAGACATTGAGCAGCAGGCTGTGTTTGCTGTGTTTGATGAGAACAAGAGCTGGTACATAGAGGACAACATCAACAAGTTTTGTGAAAGTCCTGATAAGGTGAAACGTGATGACCCCAAGTTTTATGAATCAAACATCATGAGCAGTAAGTTGGAGTACTGTTTTTGTCCATCAGTTTTTCACTCCTGTGTTGAAGCATGAGTGTGCCTAGAGTTGGAGACATGGATGAGAATCCACTCACCTCTTATCCTCACTTCCAGTCCACTGATTTGGTGGTGAAATTACTGGGTGATATTATAGCAATCTTTTTGAGGTCAAAAGCTTATTATCCTCAGAAGTCTTATTGGTCTCCTGCTCCAAATGTGTGCTTATGCTTGTGTGTGCATGGGCACATGCTCTGGGCAGAGAGGAACAGGGTAAGGGGCAGGATGGAGAGGGAAGGGGCTACGGGCCTTGGTCAGTGGTATCTGAGTGCCAGAGCAGAAACAAGGAAAGTAATACAAAGCTGGATTGTCAAATCAAACTAAGGCAAAATGCACATGAGGGGCCAAGAGTCTTGAAAGTCAATCCATGAAGAGGTTTGAAGTGTGTAGTAAAAAGTTCAGAACAGAAGGAATTCCCTGAGCCAAGGCGTTTGCTGCAGTTTTAAAGTTCAGTGCCCAAAGACACTGCTGTGGGAAGTTGGAGAAAAATTTCACTGAGCCAGCTGGATGCAAACTTCTCCACAACGGTCAGGATCCCCACCGCTGTTGCTCAGAGCCGAGAGTCACTGTGATCACCTTCTCTGATAGGTAATCACAGATATGAGGGTGATTTCTCCATGGTCTGTCCGTATAGCCTCAGATGACTGACAACTTGGGATTATCAGAACTGGCAGGTGCCATGAGAATAACTCCAAACAGGGAGTTATTCTCAGCTTTCTTTGCATAATTTTATTTTGGCAGTGAATCTGTCATAGTTCTCGCCCTGTGCTGTCCATTAGAAATTATGTATGAGCCACTAACGTAATTTAAACTTTTCTAGTAGCCATATTAAAAATTAAAGACAAGTAGGTGAAATTAATTTTAATAATGTGTTTTATGTAATATAGCCTAAATATTATCATTTCCAGATATAATCAATTTAAAAATTAATGAGATTTACTTTATTTCTTACTAAATCTTTGAAATCTGGTGTATGTTGTACATTTACAGCACATCTCAACCCAGATGACCCACATTTCAAGTGCTCAATAGCCACTTGTAGCTAGTGGCTACTGTATTACACAGTGCAGCTATAGACCCTTTAGAGAAGCCTCGCAAAGGACCTACAAACTTAAAACATATTCATCACTTATTCAGTAAACTTTTAAGTGCTCACTAATGCCAAGCATTGTCCCAGGATTAGGGCTATAGTGGTAACCCAGGCCAACATGGGCCCTGCCCTCGTAGAAATCATACCTGTGATTTCATTACCATGCTTAGTACATAAGCAGGTGAAGATATTGGCTAAAGCTGAGTCCCTTTGAAAGAAAATGAAAATGTATGAACTTGATACTTGAATAAAAACTATAGATTATATAAATATGAAGAGGGAGCAATAAAAATTGTAAAATGTGTTAAATATGCTTGATTTTTAGGGACATCACTTCTTATTCAATAACTAATGTGTCAAGAAGGTGAATTTCTTATAATCACTTTTCCTCTAGGTAGAATTATTCTAGATAATATTCTAAGTTGATCTTCAGAATATCTTTAAAAGCAGAATGTGGAGCACAAAATATTTAATATACACTTGACAAATGAATGAATAAATCAATGTGAATGAAAAGCTTTGTCTTTATCCTGACATTTCTCCCTTGGCTAACTTAGGAGAAAAAGCTCTCATTTGGGAAGTCTGAGTTTGATCTTCTAGTCACATGTCAGACCTGGTTAAGCTTATCTCAGATAATCACTGCTTTGACGCAACCAAATTAGCATTGGGACGTTTATCTTAAGTATAGTTAGACACATGCCCTTTTGTTGGCATAGGCCTGGTGTTTTAACAGATTTTGCTTTCTCAGCTATCAATGGCTATGTGCCTGAGAGCATACCCACACTAAGATTCTGCTTTGATGACACTGTCCAGTGGCACTTCTGCAGTGTGGGAACCCTGGATGACATTTTGACCATTCATTTTACTGGGCACTCATTCATCTATGGAAAGAGGCACGAGGACACCTTGGCACTCTTCCCCATGCGTGGGGAGTCTGTGACCGTCACAATGGATAATGTTGGTAAGAGCCTGAACACTTAGAGGTATCTCTGGTCTATAAAGGTCTGCTGCAGCTCTCCAGACCACCACAGCTCCTGGGTTTATCTTTCTGATCTCTTGCAGGCTTTCCTTTCAATACTTTTCATGATTTCCATTTGAGAAGTTAATTACTTAAATGGGTCCAGTCCTTTAAAGTGGCTTCCATTTATCCTTCTCTGGGCCAAGAAATAAAGATACATAGCAGAAAGATAAGGCATAACTTTGAGGAGGAAGCATGATCATTCAGCCACAAGAGAGCATTTCTTTTATCAAAATGCCCTTTTCAGTGCTTAGGACAGCCATCGTGCCTAGGGTTGGTTACCATCAGATATAGTGCCTTAGAGGCTGGCCTCAGAGTCAGCACATGTCATGGAAAGCAGGTGGGCTTTGGAGTTCATCACATCCGGGTTCGAATCCTGCTCTGCCACTCAGTATTTGTGTAACCTTGGGCAAGTTACTCCACCTCGCTGAACCTCAGTTTATTCATGTGAAAAACACAATAACAACACCTCACAGAGCTGCTTTGACCACTAATTGTAGTATGTGTCAAGTTTCTAGCACTCAGCAGACATTCAACAAGTGGTAACTATTGGAGACTTCCCAGGAAATCTTCAGTGTGCCAGAAAATCATACCATTTCAGAGAGATCTAAAATTTCCCTGGGCCCACCTGAATTATTTATTAGTTAGGAATATCTAAATGTCTCTTATTTGTGTGGGTAAACATCATCATCTTCCCCTAACTCCAATTCTCAAGCAAGATATGCAGCTATAAGATATTTATGATATTTAAAGTCCATTTGATTCATCCCTTTTTAAATATACTCTAAAATATTGACTCTCAAACTATCTGTGCTAAAAGTTCTTTTCTCCCTAATCTCCACTGACCAATATTTTGGGTCTATATTCTGTTAAATCAGATAGGTGCACTGATTGCATGCTTGGAAGTCACAGCAATGTCAAATTGCTAAAAAGTTTCCTAAACACTTTACCCTCAATTTCTCTCCTTGTGTCACTGTGGAACAGTAATCAACAGTTCACAGATCAGCGGTGGTTCACAGACCGCACTTGAGTATCCTTGATTAAAGGTTGTGGGAAATTATCTGCTACAGTGGATCTTTCTTAGGGTTTTTATATCTTTTTCTGGACTTAGAGCTCTCTGTTCTCTTTGTCTCTCTTCTGTAGGAACTTGGATGTTAACTACCATGAATTCCAATCCAAGAAGCAAAAACCTAAGGCTGAAATTCAGTGATGTTAAGTGTATCCGGGAGGATTATGAAGACTCATATGAGATATTTGAACCTCCAGCGTCTACAGCCATGACTCCACGGAAAACACACGATTTTTCAGAAAACGATGAAGAGAATGATGCTGACTATGATTACCAGAACACGCTGGCTTCATCATTAGGACTTAGGTCATTCAGAAATTCATCATTGAATCAGGGGGAAGATGAGTTCAATCTTACTGCCCTAGCTCTGGACAACAACTCTGAATTCCTTCCTCCAAGTACCAATACAACTGTTGGATCAAATTCTTCTTCCCCAAGTAACGTTAGCAGACTCATTGCCAATAACTTTGCAAAACCTCAGAAAACTCTTTCTCATTTAGAAGCCACAACAGCTGGTCCCTCCCTGGGACACATTGGCTTAGACAAGAACTCAGTTCTCAACTCTTCCACAGCAGAGCATTCCAGCCTTTATTTTGAAGACCCTATAGAGGATCCTCTACAGTTGGATGTCACAGGGATAAGCCTACTCCCACTTGATGCAGAAGGATTCAGAAGTCAAGAACATGCTAAACATAAGGGATTCAAGGCAGGAAGAGACCAAGCAGCAAAGCATAGGTTCTCCCAGATGGAATTTCCAGCACATAAAACTGGGAGACATTTAAGCCAAGGCAACTCTTCTCCTTCCAGAATGAGGCCCTGGAAGGAACTTCCCAGTGATCTGCTACTTTTGAAACAAAAGAATCCATCTAAGATTTTGAATGGGAAATGGCATTTGGTTTCTGAGAAAGGTAGTTATGAAATAATCCGAGATGCTGATGAAGACATGGCTATTAATAAGCTGCTGAACAGCGCCCAGAATGCCTCCAGGACTTGGGGAGAAAGCATCCCTCTTACAAACAAGCATGGAAAGCAGAGTGACCACCCGAAGTTTTCTGGAATTAGACGTAAATCTCTACAAGTAAGACAGGATAGAGGAAATAGTGGATTGAAGAAAAGCACTTTTCTCATTAGAACACGAAAAAAGAAAAAGGAAAAGAAGCTTGCATACAATGTTCCTCTATCTCCACGGGGCTTTCACCCTCTAAGAGGAGAGGCCAACACCACATTTTCAGATGGGAGACTTGATCATTCATTGTTACTCCATAAGTCCAATGAAACATCTCTTCCCACAGACCTCAATCAGACATTCCTTTCTGTGAATCTTGGCCTGATAGCCTCACTTCCTGACCAGGATCAGAATCCTTCAAACAACACCAGTCAGACAAGCTCCTCTCCAGATCTTCATCAGACAATGCCCCCAGAGGAACACTATGAAATGTTCTCTGTTCAAGACTCTGATCAAATGCACTCTACTACAGACCCCAGTCACAGATCTTCTCCAGAGCCCAGCCAAATGCTCGACTATGACCTAAGAAACAAGTCTTTTCCTACTGACATTGGACAAATGTTCCCTCCCTTGGAAGCTGAAGTCTGGGAGTCAACCATCTCTCCAGACATCAGTCAACCATCCCTCTCTCCAGAACTTAGTGAGACAAACCTTTCCCCAGACCTTGGTCAGGTGCCCCTTTCCCCAGACCTCAGCCAGGAGACTGTCTCTCCAGACCTCAGCCATAAGACCCTCTCTCCAGACCTCAGCCAGATGCCTCTTTCTCCAGACCTCAGCCAGGAGACTCTCTCTCCAGACCTCAGCC